CCTGCCTCTGCCTCCCGAGTGCTGGGATTAAAGGTGTGCGCCATCACCGCCCGGCCCCAACATGTAACTTTTTTGAAACTCTGTGGCAACTGAAGTAATGTTACCCTCTAACCCACATTCTTGCCTCCCTTATACCCTTCGTGGGCTCTGTTCTCACTTGCCTTCTTCCATCCCTAGACTTGACAGATTCCAGAAACTTTGGCTGTGTTGACCTTTCGTGCCTGGGTCTCCTGTGCACCTCTGCCTGAGTCCTCCTGGGGAGATGGGCCATGTCTTCCCCTGCAGGCTGTGATTTCCCAATGCTAGAATCTGTCTTCCCCCTCAGGCCAGGGTCTACACCTCCCTGATTAAGGAGCCACAGGACAGGGCTAGGAAGGTTCTGCAGGTGGGCGCTTCAGTTGGAGAGGACCTGCCTTAGACCAGGGGCCATTCATTCTCCCACCTTTAGCCTATGCCCAGCCAGGTTCTGCTGGTCAGAAGTCAGCCCCTGTGGCTGCAGAATGACCCCAGACTGGACCCCAGAGTCCCTTCTTCTTCCTCCTTGGGCCCTGCCTCTTCTTGTTGTTGGAGTCAGCAGCTCATTCTCATTCTCGGGTCCTGGGGCCAGGCTGCTGTGGCAGGGTTAATAAGCTTGGGCCTTTCTCCCTCGTCTCTCCTGGCCCCAGCCAGACCCACTTCAGCTTGTCCTTTACCTCCCAGTCTCCAACCCTGAGATCTGCTTTTTAATTGCTTTCCCAGCCTGCTTTGCGCCTTCTCCCTGCACTCCCCCTCCCCCTCCTGCATGATTAGACCCCTCAGGGGTGTGAGGCGGGACCAGATGTGGCTCTGGTGGGAGAAGAGGGCTGACAATCACCCACTATTTCCAGCCTAGGAGCTCTCCAAGTGGATAGGATGGGCCAATGGATGGGGCTGTGTTGAGGAGAGGAGAGCCATGAGGCTTAGTTGAAACATAGTTCCCAGACTTCTGGGTGTGAATCTGTTCCCTTCCTCCTCCAGCAACATTCATCCCCAACTGTCCTGGTCACCTCTTCACAGAACTATGGAAAGCCAGGCATGGTGGCACTCTGTGAGTTCCAGGGTAGCCTGGTCTACATAGCGAGTTCCAGGACAGACAACACTACATAGAGAGACCCTGTCTCAAACAAACAAATAAACACAAAAGAACTATGGAAGAGAAGACAGCCATGACTTACATGCTACCTGGAACCAGGATCATTCTCCAGGGAGAATCTGGAGACAGGTGAGTGGGGCTCTCGGATAGATCTCATGAATTAGCTGCCAAGGAGATTCCCCAGGTTGGGATGATGCCCCCCTCCCCGGAGGGGTCAAGCTGAAGGCTGCATATAGGGGAACACAGAAAGACTAGCCCCTCCCCTTGACAGTTTCAGCACTGAGGGTAGATTTTGCTGTTTATTCAGTTACAGGGCTAGGTGGATACCACCCCTTCTCCCGTCACAAAGGTTTTCAGCTCTTTGCCACAAGCCTGGTTTTGCAAACTGGGTACCCCAACGTCAGGTTCAGATCTAAGCTTCAGTGTGAGCAAAGGGGGTACCTATGAGGGGTGTGGGGTGACAGGATTTCTAAATTCACAGAAGCAGGGCTGGGATGATTCAGGAAGCGGGGTTGTTAGGCCAGGCTGGGTCTGTGGCGGATGGAGAGGCATTGATTACCATGTCTCGTGGATAACTCTATGAGAGAACAATCCAATTTCAGTCTCATCGCCCATGCAAGTCAGATGGATGCTGCATCTCAGCTGGCTGCCCCCCCCCCCCCCCCCCCCCCCCCCCCCCCGCAGCCCCCGCCAGCCCGACTGCCTATGGCATGCAGGACACCACACAGCAAGCTCTCGGGCCGACCTCCTGTGATTGAGGGCAGGAGCCGCACGTGCCTTGCTCCATCAGCCCAGAGTCTCTGTACATTTTACGGGTCACCCGAGAGCACACTTTGTACCACGGAGCCGCAAATGTTTGCGCAGTGAATGGCTGGCTGCTGAACATCCTTGTCAAGAGTGACCTCTTCCACTGTCCGGCTGCCCCGCGCCTGGCAAACTCTGCCTCATGCAAGGACCCGTTGTGCATTGCGTGCCCTCCTGGCCCTCCTGGCCCTCGTTACTGGCTGCCTTGCCCCGTGCCGACTGCCTCTGCCCTTGGAGGGCGATAGTGATGATCAGAAGAGGTCATATATGTGAAGACCCCGGGAAATGGAGAAGTTATTCCATCGGAATCCAGCCATCACTCAGCGAGGCCTCAAGTGAAAGTGCCGTGCCAACTGCCAGGGGATACAGATGTGAATCTGTGACGGCTTCGAGGGAGCCACGGAACACAGGGGAACAAACTCATTAAGACTAATTGGAGAGGCGGGAACCCCATGCCTGGGAAGAAAAATGATGTCTGTTCACTTGAAAAAGGAAGCAGTCCTGTGTTATGGAGAAACCAGGATGTAGGCTGGGTCCCAAATACTTGCTGTCCAACTGTGGGCAAGTTGGGTGGAGGTGTTTGATTCTGTTTCTCTCATCCGTCTCATAGGGCCAGCGTAAGCTGAGACACAGCCTGGCAGCACAGGGAAGCTCATCCACCTGCTTTTCCTCACTCTCCTGATCAGGGACAGAAATGAGCAGGAGGGGTCCAGGCATTCTTTGAACCTGGCAGCATTATTTACACACTAATCACAATGTGCTAAATACCCTTAAAAATGTTTGTTTTCAGGAGCAAGTTCAACACAAGCGCCTGTAATTTTGTTTACACTATTAATTCACTCAGCCAACCATGTCTTCGTGGGGAGAACAGAGATAACCATGCTCAGCTGCTATACAATCCAGCGAGTGGAAAGGGAGGCCCCCAAGAGCTGGTGGAGGGGTGGGGAGAGAGGAGCAGGCCGCAATGGACTCTAGCTGGGACTCAGTTGGAGCCTCAGCTCAGACCTGAGTCCAACCAAAAAGGCCTTCCTGACAGCAGAGTGACCCACCGTAAGGTGTAATAGACATCCAAGTGAGATTCCTTTGAAACCCACTGGGAGCAAGGATCCTGCAAGGAAGAAAATATCATGTGTGTGCATATATGAGTGCGGGTAACATGCATGTCACAGCATGTGTGTGGTCAGAGGACAGCCATGGAGTGGGTTCTGGGATTGGACTGAGGCTGTCGTGCAGGCCTGCAAACAAGTGCTTTTACCTGCTGAGCCAGGTCCACGGAGAGGATCTGCACTGTACTGAGGAGCCAGGTTCAGGCCCCAGAACAGAAGGCTGCAGGTGGCCAGGAAGGTATTGTTTCCTGGACTCCTAAGTTCCTTGAACCCAGGACTGCAAGCATGCCAGGCAAGCAAGCGCCCTACCACTCTGAGCCACAGCCCTAAAAGTTTCCTGTTGATTTTTTTCACACTATTTAGGAACAGTTGCCCTCTAACTCACGATCCTCCTGTTTCAGCTTCCCAAGTGCTGGGATTACAGGCGTGTGTCACCACACTCAGCTTGACATCTTAAAGGTAAGAAAGGAGAGGTGGCACTAACCTCTGAGGGTGTAGAAGGAAGAACACACTCCAGAGGTGCAGATGATTTAATAATCATTACAGTAGAAAAATCTATAGATCTATAGGCATACACCTGTGTGTATATACATATAAATATTTACATATAAATACACATATATGGGAAAGTCAAGGACACTTAAATACCAATGTAACTAGCTAGCATTTATATCTAAGTGGTAACATTAAGGCTACATTCTCCTCTCTTCTTATACACTGGGTGTATGGCCCGTGTTTAGTGAGTGAAAATAATATAAACCAAAGCTACATCACCAAGGGGTGAGGCATTCCCACCCCAGGCTGTGGGCACAGGGCTGAAGATGCCCATCTCAAACACCAGAAGAGTTGAGCAGGACTTGTCCTCATCCACCTTCACTGTTAGGGCCTCACTGTGGAATCTGTTGTCAGACATGAGGTTTCGGGGTAGAGAACAGAGCACAAGAATTCCTTGCTTGCATGGAAGGCTTTGGGAATGAGAAAGCATGACAGGATCCTTTAATATAGCCATGTGTTTAATACTCACAAATGAATATATATATATATCAAGAAGCTGAGTGTAACAGATTAATAAAGAAGGCAAAGAGCAGATGGATGGTTGGGGAGGGGTGTTAATACAGGCAAGGCATGTTGGTGCTAATTGTTCCAAGGTCAAGAGGGCAGATCAGGGGCTCATGGTATGGCAGCTCCAGACCAGAGAAGGCTGTCAGCCTAGAGGTGTTGGCGGATCAGGATGAGCTTGGAGGCCTCGTGGTCAGGATACCCAGTTAACAGCACTCTGTCACACCAATCAGTCCCTTATGAGTCCTCTGGTCACCAAGGCAGTGGGGACTCAAGGGTGGTTCTGCAGGCCAGCGAGACACAGAGAGGTACAGAAGGACCAAGTGAGGCTCTGTCCCAGCCCCCCTGCCTCTCATCCCATCCTCCTCCTCCCTCATCAGGGTCCCTGAAATGCTTGGAAGTATCTCAGGTCCTTCTTCCACCTGGGTCTCTACATTCCATTCTCGTCTACCACCACTGCTCAGCTCTACTTGTCTCTGGTTCCAGTTACCTGGGACTGTGAAGGGTCCGTCTGGCTTCTTCAAAGTGCTACTGGGGAGGCGGGCAATGCAGCTTCGGCCTCGGGAAACTGAAGACCTGAAGAAGGGAAGGCAGGGAGGCAGGAAGGTGGGAAGGTTACAGGCATGATCTGGACTGTGGGTGTACACGGAAGGGAGACAGCTGGATGCTAAACCTCAGGGGCAGGAGCTGAACAGCAGTTTTCAAAACCACGTGCGAGAATGGGAGACGCAATGAGGAGAGGCTTGTGGAATGAGGGGCATGCAAGGAAGCTTTGGTGAGAGAAACAGTCCAACCAGTGCATCAGCCAATGAACGATGCCTATCTCCCTCATGGCTAGGGGTCTAAGGCCCGTATCCTCTCCGGGAAAACCAGAGATGATTCCAGCCAGAGAACCGAATGCCGGCCCTGCTTACAGGACCTCGGCCATTTTCTCCAAGGAGTCTAGAGAAAACCAGGTGGGGGTCTGGGCTTAGTTGGTGCCCACTGATCTGGTTAGGGCTTTTCTCTCCCACCTCCAGCCTCACCTCACAGCACGCCTCTTCTTGCCGGCAGTGGTTGTAGGTAGAGAAGATTTGGGGCCCTTCATGGTGAACATGAGCACAGGTGCACTGTGGGGGTGGGAGAAGCAGATCAGGAGGGAGCCAGAAATGCCACTGACCAGTCTCCTCTCCAGCCCCGAGCTTGCAGGGAGGGAGGTTGGATCAAATGACCTGAGGCTTCTTCCTGCTCAGAAGTAGCCTCTCTCCCTGCCTCTCTTAGCCTGGGCTGACAGCTGAGTGACAGCCCCGTTCTGGGAGAACATCCAGATGTCAGTTTCTGGTGTGTCCTGGGAGCTGGAGTTCAAGCAATCTCACCCTTCCACCTGCCCAGCTCTGAGCTTGTTACCGAGCTGGCTCAGAGGGCATGGGAGGTGTGGGGCTGTGGGTGGGCAGTCTGCCGGCCTCGGCCTCACAGGCCTGCCGCTCGCTCAGTCCTGAGCTGTTGCCATTCCCTCCCCCTATCATGCAGTTCAAGGGCAGAGGGAACGGCTTCACCTTTGCACTAGAAAATACTGAAGGAAAGTCTTCCTTTCCTAGTGTACCACATCTCCTTTTGGTCTCCTGAGACAGGGTCTCTCTCTCTACAGAGCCCTGACTATCCTGGAACTCACTACGTAGACCAGGTTGGCCTCGAACTGAAAGAGATCCGCCTGCTTCTGCCTCCTGAGTGCTGGGACTAAAGGTGTGCAATACCACACTCAGCATTCCTTCCCTATTCCAGATGCTGGGATAAGAGAGAAACATCTGGAATACAAGTAGATGAAATAGGTATCTATCTGTAGGTCATGGAACCAAAACAAAGCCTAGGAACAGACAGAGCTGGGCTTGTTAATTCCTGGTTCCCTGATGACCCTTCCTAAGTTGGCGTCCCATGAACCAGCATGCCATGAAGCAGCACAGAGTTGGCGGGATGAGGCACGGGCACCGGGACTCTACAATCAGCCATGGTGCCACACAACTGCAGGCTTTGCTTTCCTGGGCCTGGGCACAAGGCTGACGAGTGACCAAGGGGAGGCAGGTGGCAAACGTCTCTGCTCCAAGAGCCAGCTGCCTCCCACCTTCTGGGACTCACCTGGGAATGAAGGGCTGGTCTGTGCAGTTCAGCTCCTGGGGGACTTGCTCCCAGCCAACAGGATCATGGAAGCTGGGTTTGAAGGGGGACTCCTCGGAGACGGTGAAGGTGGTGTTGAGGTCACGGGTGGGTAGGGCGAGAGGAGTGGAGCAGTTCTGTAAGGCAGAAGGGCCCAGGGGCACCCGGCTTTTAATGACTGTAGCTGGGCAGACCCGGGAGGAGGGGGAGGAGGAGGCCCTTTCTCCTCTGGGGGTTCTGGGCTCAGAGGCAGGCTGGGCCTTAGGTAGGGAGCCCCTCCTCAGGCAGGGGAGGAAGGACTGGCGCTGGCGCTTCGTCTCCTGAGTCGGGGCTGGAGGACTGCCCGGCTCTGTGGGGCTCAGTTTCCTCTTCTTCTTCCTCTCCTCGGCGGGCTTTTGGGACATCTTGTCTGAGGTGCAGTCAGGTCCAAGTGGGACTCCCAGAGTGTGCGTGAGGCCATTCAGTTGCTTTGCCATGGTCCGGGTGACAGGACCACAGTACCCTGAAGGTTCTGGACAGGGAAGGAACGTGCTGAGAAGGGACCTGGGGCTGGCCAGAGAGGAGTGTATAGGACGTGGGAGCAGACCCCAGAGGCAGAGAAGAGCCTTAACTCCTCAGTTCTCTTTGGCCTGTTTGTGCATAGAAAGCCAGTCTGAGGTTCCAGTGCCCCACGCAGCACACCCCAGCAGCTGAGGCCCCAGCCCACCCTGTGGCTAGAGGTGAGCCTTCGAGATTCAACAGCAGGCGAGACAGGGCAGAAGGACACTCACTGGACTCTGAACACTCCTGAGCTAGGGGGTGCCCCCTCGCCCGACCAGGAGCCCTGGGGCTCTGAGCCCCAAGTTCAGTGTTCTCCTCATGCACCAACTGCTGCAGGGTCTCAAATTCTGAGATCATGTCAGGAGTCAGGAGGTTGGCTGCCTGCAGCAGGGAGTATTGTTGCTGGGCCAGGCACAGAACTCGGAGGGCCAACCTGGAATAGAGGGTAGAGAATCTGTATGTAACTTATTGAGACCCAGGCTGAGCAGGTCTCTGTGTTATACACTGTCCATCACTCTATACTTGGCTAGTCTGCCAGCTCCCTCCTGCCTTGCCCCAGACCAGTTTACCTGCTTCACCCTCCTCCTGGCCATGGACCCTGTTTTGGCATACCCTTACCAAAGGCCAACACCTTCACAGGTAATGGTGGGACGTGTCACCTGTTATACATGCCCTATGACAAAGACAGTGATCTGGGAAATAGAGAAAAGGTGCCAAGTGGCCTTGAACTTGGGAGCTGAGTTCCTCCTCAGCTCTGCAGCTTAATAGTGTTGTGGTCTTTTTGATCTCATGTAGCCCAGAGTGGCCTTGAACACGCTACATAGCTGAGGATGTCCTTGAACTCCTGATCTTCCCTCCAGTCCCCACCTCCCAAGTGCTAGGATTACAGATGTGTGCTAGGATTACAGATGTGTGCTAGGATTACAGATGTGTGCTAGGATTACAGATGTGTGCTAGGATTACAGATGTGTGCCACCACTCCTAGCTTAGAACAACATCTCTCCCCTCAGGGTGAGCCCTGTTCAAATCCCAGCTCAACACGTCCCATCTGCAGGGTCTTCACTGCACCTGTTAACTTCAGTCTCAACAGCTTTAAGATGGGGTGCTAACGAGTACCACTGCATCACAGGGCTGCCGGCAACGTTAACTGAGGTATTGATTTACGGATTTATTTATTGGTTCTTCAAGGCAGGGTTTCTCTGTGTAGTCCTGGCTTCCTGGAACTTGCCCTGCTAGGACCAGGCTGGCCTAGAAATCAAAGATTCACCTATGCCTGCTTCCAAACGGATGGGAATTAAAGGGGTACACCACCACACCTGGCTTTGTTACTATGGTTTGAGACAGGATCTCACCACATAACTCTGGTTGGCCTGGAACTCAGAGATCCATCTGTCTAGCCTCCCTAGTTCTAGGACTAAAGGTGTGAGCCACTATACCTGGCCTAAGTGACTTATTTTACATGCAGAATATTTAAAGGATGCCTGGCACACGGTAAACTATTACTTCTGTGAAATGGTATCTACCTTGTTGGAATAAGGTGAGACTAAGTAAGAGGCTATGTTGATTGTGGCTTTGAGAAGACCCTGGAAATGCATTTGGAGATGTGTTTTCTAGCTAATGGTTGGGATCCTGAAAAAGTGTGTGAAAATCAACACACATTTCACATATACCAGGGGACTATTTAGAGGAAATTCTGAGGGTAATGTGATTATTGATATTGTAAATTTAGATTCTCATAAAGCAAAATTTTTTCCTCTAAGGCACGCCTGTTATAAAAGAAATAAACACAATTCCCTTGGTAAGGATTATTCATGGCAAATGATTTATCCCCAGGTAACCACCTGTCTGGACTCTGAACCTCTTCACTGGCCGCAGTCAGTGTGTGCTCAGGAAACACAAACTCATTTGGCAAAGCAGCCTCAAGGTCTTTCTTTGTGAAAGCAGGCAGGACACTAATTAACAAGGACACAGCGGAAACTCAGGATCTTTCTGAGCCTCTATTATGAGGAAGATCTGAATTTTGTTTTGTTTTTCAAGACAGGATTTCTCTGTGTAGCTCTGGCTGTCCTGCAACTTGCTCTGTGGACCAGGCTAGCCTCAAACTCAGAGAT